CACTGCGGGGGGGGGGGGCAGGGGAAGAAGAGCCACATGCGGCTCATGAACCTCGGGTTGGCCACAGGTGTTATAAATGGTGATTCCATTCCTGGAATCATGCCTATGGAAGCGGAGGAAAGTAAATAAAACAATAATATATGCCTTTACAAACATTTATTAACTTAAAACAAACATTCAGTCTGAATATAAAGCACAGAAAATACCTTCATTATCTTCAGGGGAAGAAGAGCCACATGCGGCTCATGAACCTCGGGTTGGCCACAGGTGTTATAAATGGTGATTCCATTCCTGGAATCATGCCTATGGAAGCGGAGGAAAGTAAATAAAACAATAATATATGCCTTTACAAACATTTATTAACTTAAAACAAACATTCAGTCTGAATATAAAGCACAGAAAATACCTTCATTATCTTCACTTGGGGAGGGAGATGGTTATTGGAGAAAAGCAATAAAGGAGGGGACTGGGACTGCATCTGGGTCATCTGGATTGTCAAAATCTCATCTTGCAAGAGGAGGAGGGCTAGACTGAGGGAGTTTGGTTGAGATAAAGTTAGTTTCTGGCGGGCTTTTCTCAATGATAAAATAGGAATGAGGTTTGGACTGAAGACGCCTTCTTCTCATAGAAAATCTCCCTGTAGCAAGCGTAGGCATTCTTAATTGTTGAAATGACCTTCGAACTAGGTTTGAAATTACGATTATCTGTCTCAAAAATTTTCAGCGCTGACTCAAGACCCTGGAATGCCTCCAAAAGTCTTTGAATGCTAAATGCTGGGGGAGAGGGAGTCTCAACGGTAAACTCTTCTTCAATTACCCGTGGTTCTTAGATTTCCAAAAGATCTTCATTGGTGAGCTCCTGAGCATGAGAATCCAACAACTCAGTCACGTCTTCAGGAGAGACTTGGAGAGCCAGTCAATTTGCCATCTTGACCACAGATCCAGTGACTTCTGCTAAAGGATCTTGAAAGTCCTCAAAATCCTGAACAAATTCAGGGCAGTTTCTTCCAAACTCCCCTGAGGTTGGATTCGGTGACAGCATTCCAGGCTTCTTTAATGACTTTCATGGCATCCAAAACATTGAAAGACTTCCAGAATTCTTTGATTGTTGGTCCACCTTCTTTGTCAACTGCTTCTACCAGCCTCTTAAAAGTCCCTCCAAAATAATAAGCCTTGAATGAACTGATGACACCCTGGTCCATTGGTTGAAGCTATGCAGTCATGTGAGGGGGTAAGAAAACAATCTTGATGTTCAGATTTGCATCTTGAGGAATTCTGGGATGGCCTGGAGTATTGTCCAAAATGAGCAGTGCTTTAAATGGTAGGTCATTTTCAGCACAATGTTTTTGGACCTCAGAAACAAAATTATAGCTGAACCAATTTTCAAAAATAAATGCAGTCACCCAAGCTTTGGCGTTTGATTTCCAAATGACTGGAAGTCATTCACTAAACCCTTAAGAGTCTCAACATGATAGACAAGCATCAGTTACAATTTGCAGTCCCCCGCAGCATTAGCTCCCAACAACAAAATCAGTAGATCTTTAGCTGCTTTGAATTCAGGCATTGACTTTTCTTCATTCACGATGTAAGTCCTCAATGACATTTTCTCCCAATAAAGTCTTGTTTCATCAACATTGAACATCTGTAAAGAACAATAGCCTTCCTCTTTGATGATTTTGGCTAACATCTGTGGAAAATCCTTTGCTGCTTCCGTGTTGGCAATGGCTGCTTCTTCCTGGACTCGAATGTTATGCCAATCAATTCTCTTCCTAAAGTGGTCAAACCAACCCTTGCTAGCATTGTAAGAGTCATCTTGGATGTTTCACCATGCTTATTCTTAAGTGCCTTGAAAAGACTTTTAGCCTTAGCCAAAATAGTCACTTGATTGAGAGGCATATGGAGGCACTGCATCTGATCATTTATCCACAAAATTAAATTTTTTTCCATCTCGGGAATGAGCCCATCACGTTTTCTAATCAGTGTTGTTTGCATTGAGCTTGCACTCTTCACTTCCTGTAGATATTTAGTCTTGTCCTTCAAAATCGTACTCACAGTTGAATCAGAAAATTCAAATTTATTACCTAGTTTACACACTTCCATGGCTGATTTGTGAAGCTTCAAAATTTCATGTTTAATTTCTAAAGTAAGGGCTTTCCTGAGCTTCTTTGTTGATTTTTCCACTCTCTGCCTCACTTTTCCTTTTCTCAGACATGGGGTATGTCTACACAGCAAAGTTATTTCGAAATAACTTTCTTAGCGTCTACAAAGCCAAACCACTATTTCAAAATAAATTTGAAATAGCGGAGTGCTTATTTTGAATTTGGTAAACCTCATTCTACAAGGAATAATGCAGTCCGTCTTGCAGCAACGCGTCCAAGAGAAGCACCAGAGTGCCCAGGGGTAGCTCTGGCTACATGTTGCAGAGTTCTCTGGTCACCTGAGTGAGGGTAACCAGAGCACGCAGAGATAAAATGCTTTGCTGTCCCTCATCGAGGTAGACAAACAAGCAGGGAAACCTGAGAACTGGCTGGCCGGGGGGGGGACCTCAGATACTGTGTGGGGCTGCTGCCTGAGACTAAGTCCTGACCTGGTGCCCTGCCGGAACTGTTTCTGGCCAGCCTTAAATGCGATTCACAGTCCACTCAGTGTGGACACGCTATTTCGAAATGCATTTTGTGTGTAGACACGTTATTTCGAAATAAGCTATTTCAAAATATGATATTTCGAAATAACACAGTAGTGTAGACAGACCCATGGTGAACAGCAAAATACACTCAGTTGCATTTCCTGTCTGTGCGTTTCCTGTTTTGTGATGAAACGTGGATGACGCCGTCATAAATGTGAGCTGCAGACGTAAATTGGGGGTTTTAGGAGCTCTCTTACATGGGGAAAAAATGGTCATAAATGCAGGGGGTTGTAAGTCAGGTGGTCGTAAGTTGGGGGGGTCTCCTGTGTATCTAATTCTTAACTAACACTTTATTTCTAATTAATTCACATAAGCTTTTCCCATGAATTTACAATTAGGCTGTGTCTAAACTGGCCAGTTTTTCCGGGAAATCAGCCGCTTTTCCGGAAAAATTTGCCAGCTGTCTACACTGGCCGCTTGAATTTCCGCAAAAGCACTGACTTCCTACTGTAAGAAATAAGTGCTTTTGTGGAAATACTATGCTGCTCCCGTTCAGGCAAAAGTCCCTTTTGCGCAAAACTTTTGCCAGTGAAGACAGCTCAGATTTGTTTTCCGAAAAAAAGCCCCGATCGCGAAAATGGCAATCAGGGCTTTTTTGCGGAAAAGTGCGTCTAGATTGGCACAGCCACTTTTCTGCCAAAAGTGCTTTTGCGGAAAAGCGTCTGGGCCAATCTAGACGCTCTTTTCTGAAAATGCTTTTAACGGGAAAACTTTTCCATTAAAAGCATTTCTGGAAAAATCATGCCAGTCTAGACACAGCCTCACAGTAAAAGGAGACCTACTAAGTTGATGAAAAGTAATTTTTTTCCCCTCCCTCCAATAGTGAGGAGATTCTCTATGTCCTCTTGAAGTAGTTTTCTTGCAGACCCTACTTTGTCCACTGGAAAAGCACCCTTTGTTATGGTACCCTAGTAGGCTGCCCTGCTATCCTGTCACTAGGTGTCCCTGAATGCATTTCCCTTGGGTATCAAATCATGTCTTTACCTCTTCTGAGATGGAATTCCACAATTCACCCACTCTCAGATTGGTTTCTGGATTATAGCCCCTTAATATCAAGTGTAACTAATTTAGCAGGTTTAGCTGGGGTTGGATCCTGCATGGGTTCTCTCTCTTTTGGGAGCCTGTGACAGCATGCATCTTCAGTGAGACAGAAACAGCTTCTTCAAAACAAAGCCCAATTTATTTTGTTGAAAAGATACATGGCACTTAGAGATGTGACCTACACACACTTTCCCTTATTGAAGTGTAGCCTCTCTAGCCAGAGCTTGGCCAGTCTGGCTGCTTCTTATTTGAAAATTAGAAG